CAATCTACTCTGATTATGAAGAATGGAGAAATATAGTATATATTTCAGGCCAGACAGATTGCTATCAGAAGTATTTTTAAAAATATTTATGTTAGGGTGCTTAAATATATAACCTTCTGTGACCTAGAACACTGACAAATGTGTACAACCCTTCTCCAGAAATCCTGAATAGTGTATATAGTACTCAACTGCCCCAGTTTAGTATTGCATTGCAAAAGAACAAGTACAAAATTTGTAAATATTTTTAGTTCACATTTTTTAATGTTTAAAAACTATGTTAACAGAGCAGTTATAGAAGAGAACTTCTTACATTTCTTTATTTACACCACACCCTGAAAAAAACCCAATTCTATTTGATTAACTGTGAATAGCAAAGTTTTGTGACTTGTGACTCACTTAAATCACCCATCTGAAATTCATTTACAAGGTTTTTACATTAATAAAACAGTAGTGTGCTACATGTACCAGACTCAGATGAAGTCTAAAGTACACTGGACTCTAGAGAGTGGATTACATACCTATGACCAAGATTCAAGTGTTTGGGGAAGAAATTACCTAAGACAGTCTATGTTGGCGTCAACACTAAAATAAAAGGCAAACATGCAGGACTTTCAAAGCGTGATTAGATAATGGTTCTTTGTTTTCTTTCCTTCAAATTTGTGCTCATAATTCATATTCAGGTTCCCTCTCCCCACTTTCATAGATCCCAAAGTTTGAGAAATGCAGCAATTCAATTGTGAAAAAAACATTCTTCTCTCCAACTTCTGTTTTCACATGTACTATGTAGTGATATCAGTGTTAACAATGGAAGATCATTATGAAGAAACAATTTGTCATTTTGGGTATATCTGTTTCTATATGACAAGGATTTGTGTCTAAATATTCCTTATTTGTATCTCAGAGGACTATCTGTTAAATAATTGATCTTAATGCCAGCACAAGAAATCAATGGAACTATTTCTCAGACATTTCTTTCTCTGAACAATTAAGTAGGGTTTTAGGTTCCAAGTTTACATTGAGAGAATTATGTTACCTGGGAGAGAATGTAAATTTTTCTAATTCCCAAACAAAACCACTAATATCTAGGAAACATTTATTGTTTATATGCAGATCCTAGAGACTTCTATTTCAGTGTGGATCAACAACTGCAAAAATATACAGCCTCCTATTTATTTACAATAATATTTACATACAAATGAAGTATTTCCTGCAATAAGCCTCAGCTGCATAGATTCTTCCTTTAAAAATGTAAATTCGAGCCTGTATACAGATGGGCCTAGTTTCATAGCCCTTCCTTAGATAAAAACCTAAAGAAGGAAAATGTCTGCACCTTGTGAACTTTACATATTTTGCAAGAACTTTCTCTTTGAGATTTAGTGATAATTGTTAGTTGTTAGACACCCTGCCTTCAGTTTGTACCTGAAAGCTTTATCTCGTTATAAATAATTCACTGTAATTTAGGGGAAGTATGTCCTGTTGCTAAAGAATTTTCAAACCTGCCATCCCCAAGGACAATCATGTATTAGTATTGCTAAATGATGGTCTGTATCTTCGTTTTGAAGGTGGCTAGATGTTTGCTGTGAATTTGAATGGGAGAATTATATTCTTAAAGTTTACAGCCCCTCTAAGCCTAAATTATATTCTTAAAGTTTACACCCCCTCTAAGCCTAAAGCCATTTAAATTGATAAACTGAGAGAGACAAACAGGTTTTACTCTAAGGTGTAAAATCCAATATCTGATCATATTCCTGACCTCCCCCCGACTCCAACTAAATGTGCCATAGTCCACCGTGCCCCACTGAATTGGAACTCACTATTTCATTCTTTTGAGAGCAGTTTGTAGCTCCTTAAGCAGAGCAGACCTTTCAGTAGAGAATTCGCTTTAAAAGGAGGACAGGATTATCATCACACGATTAACACAAACACTGGAGAACTTACTTCTGGCAAATTTAGTATTTCTTCTAAGTCTGCATTTACAAAGGGTCTTTTCTTTTAATTTCTTTCACAACTGCCCCGCCCCCACTAAAGCCTCACTTTCATTTCCTCACAGCTTTAAAAAATAAAATATTATCATGCCTCAGCCCGAGGTAACACCGAGTGCAGGCAGCTTGTGTTTAGGGATGTGCACCTGCACTGGTATTTTCAACGAGAGGGGGATGACCAGGTGGCATCCCTGGATTCACTCGCTTTCTTGCCATTGCAGAGACCCCTGCCGCCAGGCTCCTTTCCTCCCCTCCCTAAAGCCTTGCTCCTGTATCTTGCACCATGAGTCCTAGGAATCATCTTGTGAGGTAGGATGAATGGGAAGTAAAAGTGAGACTCATTGACTTAGGGTGATTCTCAAACTTGATGCACTTTAGAATCATCTGCTGAGTCCCTCCCTGAGAGCTTCTGACTTCACCGTGTCTGGGAGGGGGCTGAGAATCTGCATTCTAATGAGGTCCCTGATGATGCTGATGCTACTGGTCTAGGGGCCACACTTTGAGAACCACTGGCTTAGAGGCACGAATCAAGCTCCAAAAAGCAGTCAGTTTCAGGGTAACAGTCTTAGGTGCTCTCCGAAACACTGAGGAATCTTACCACAAGCCTGTGTCCACCATAAGCCCTATCACCATCACCCATCTGGGTGCTTCTTTTTCTCAACAGGGTCTGTACCTGTAAAAAAGGAAAGTGGGTGGAAAGCTTTTTTTTTTTCTTTTTTCTTGTTTTCTAACCTCCCAGCTGATTCCTGGAGAGTTAAAACATGGTTACTAGCACTAAAAACATGAAAAGTGCTGTGCGCTGGCCTCAGTGACTGGTACACGGGAGAAGCTGTGCAGCAGCATCCTTTTCTGTGGTGGGCAGGGCAGGATATGGGCCATAGGAGCCAAAAGTCAGACAAGCAGAAGAAGGCAGACTATGCCTGAACCATCCAGACAACAGCAGAGGTAGCAGCTGACGGATGTCCCTGGAGGTTTCTGACCCATGAGAGGCCCCTTCACCCTCCTTCACCCTCCTCCTACCATCAGGCTCTCTGGCAGTTATGGACTTATTCCTCCCCATTTTTGCTGGACACCATGTTTCAGGCCACTCTGGTCACCTGTAGTCTGGTGGCATCTCTACCCCCACTGTCCAGTAGGTGGGATGTGGCTGGGATGGACAGTCCAGATTCTACTAACGGGCAACTCTGAACAAACACCCTCCCTGGAAACAATATTATATTTGATGGTTAGATTCTTTAGCAAACCTATTACATTATTCGATTTCAGCTAAACTATGGGCTTGATCATCTTTTCCAGCTGCTCTAGGGGCCTAACCACGGTGGATAACGTGGTCTCTAAAGGAAAATACATTCCAGGTTGCAAACAATCAACTGACAACCTTTGGAATATGATCTCCTTATATATTGGGGCTCCGTGTGCCTAAACAGAGTAGGTTTCCCTCCTGTGCGTATTTCAACAGCCCCACTTCCAATAAGTAACATTAAGTAAATTAGGGATTGACAGTATTCTGTGTTACAATAACTAGAGAACAGTTCTAAATCCAAAGTGTGAAACTGGCACTGTTCGCTAGTGTAGAGATCCTACCTACCAAAGGAAAACGTGCTGCTTCCCATGGCTAAGGTATAGTATTCTTTAATCTACTAATTTAGCAGAAAAACTTCCAGAGCACTTGACTGTGCTGTTTAAATTCGACCTAACATCTGTGATACATGTATTTTTGGCTACCAATTCACTATTCTGAACAAGAATAAGAGCAGTACACTTTACAGCTAATCCCACACAAAGGATGTAACTAATCAGTGATATTTGACAAATTACAGTAGGTCTATTACATTCAGTCAGCAACAAATTTAGATAAACATACAAAGGTTTTTAAAAATATGTGTAGTATCACACACAGCAACAACAGTGTGCCTCCTCTAAACAAATCTATTTTAAATAAATATTCCTTGTATTGACACGTGAAACCCAGAGACCCAAAAATATCCTACACATCCCAGTTAATGATAATGTTCTAAATTGACTTTGTGAGTGTAAAATGAATTGCTATAAAGTAACAAGGAAAATAGAAAGTAGCATAATATAGCTTGTGAACTAAATTACGTATTTTTAAAGGTAAGATCATCCCACTACCTGGCTATTTCATTACTGGTGCTCTAGACAAGCTCCCAAGAACCGACTGAATCTTGGCTTGTTCTGTTTCTGTCATTGCTAATATAATATGGAAAACATTGCTGAAAAGGACAGAGATGACCATAGATATGGCTAGGGTAGGTATTAATATCTAGATATCTGAACTCTGACCTAATGTGGACATAATTCTGTAGCATTATATTAAAAGCTATGATGATGCAATGCAGAAAATAACCTTTCATTCTCCCCCCAAGAGGATCACGACAGGTGCTTCAATGCCTGCCGTATCTATGGGACATTAGTGTGATTCTCAGTGAGAGTGAAGGCCTTTGGGGATTTGAGTCAGGAAGAGAACATGGCTAAGTGCCTGGAAACTCTGCAAACAGTCTGCAGTTAGATTCTACTTATCTCTGGATAAGAAATCTGTGCTCAGTGAAATTATGTGTTTGGAAAATTCAACCAGAATATAGAGGAAACATAAGTCCTGTTTCAAGAGGCCAGCTCACCGAGCATGCACATTTCTCACCATATGCAAGCTACGGACAATTCAATCACAGGGCATGGCCCCACTTAGGGGAATGCAGTTCTGGGTTTCCTTGCTATCCCTATTCCTTTTTCAGCTACAAACTCTCCTCTTTTTCAGTCTCTTCAGTCTCCTCGTGCTCCCTTTAGGAGAGGGACTAGGGTAAGAGTACCAGGCAACTCTGTCCTCCTGCATGGACAGTTGAGATGGGCAGTAATGGCACAGTCCTTGGTTGGGGAAGAGAAGAGGAGACAGCACAGACACTGAGACCCCCTTGTCTTCCTCATCTGGGGGAAGGAAGGTACTCAGTGATTCTGTCAGAAGCTCTTCACAAAGACTTTCTCTGAGGGGTTTTTTTTTTCCACAAGACTAGATGGAGAATTAATGAAGAAATGGAAATGAGGCTTATTTAAAGTACAAAAATCTTGTATTTGTAATAACCTAGATTTATAGATATAAAACAAGTCTTTTAAAGACTTCCCTAAAGTACTCAATATAAAACAGGAGTTACTTATCCTAGATCATCCTTAGTTAGGTACACATGATTCTCTGTGCAACTAGCTGGTGGACATGAATAAAAGCTGCTGGGCCTGTAATGTACTAAAACATTTTTCTCCCTTCAGCGAGACAGGGTTGAAGGCTAAACGCATCAGAGTAGTATTTTCTCAGGCATTTTGGACAATCATTTTGCAGTAGGTTCTATAGGTTTTCTCCAGCGAAAGTTGACTCAGACCAGAGTAACTCGGACACAAGTTGCCAAGAGGGAAACAATACTTCATTTGCTAGATTACCCAAATGTGTAGCTTCATTTAATTGCCAAGGTAAGAATCATCCCCAATGACTTTTCAGCAGAGAACACTTGCCAGAGAATGTCTCTGGATGGGAATGGATGTGGTACCAGCTAGTCCACTGGACTACCCGAGCTCAGCTGCCAGGTGATCAGAGCCACCTCAAATATTGGGCATGCTCTGATTCAGCAGTGGCAGTGCCCTATAACTTTCAGATGATTATCTCTGTGTGCTATGTTAACCAAAATAGGCAAATTATTTATGAAACCATTTTTTTTCTGTAAAGCAAAATAAATATATACAATTCAAGATTCTTTTCTCTTCTAAAAAGGTACAGATAGTGTGAGCTGAACATCAGTAGGAAAATTATTTCAGAATCTGGATGTATAATAAATAAACATGATTGCATATCATGTTTCCAAAGTTCTAAGAGACTGGGAAGCCACAAAACATAGAGTTAGATGGGTAAAAAATGACTGCGAAAAGTACTGGGAAATATGATTGTATGAAAACTGAAAAAAAAATTCACAATCCCTAAATTGATCCCAAATCTTGGAGGGACATGAAGCATTATAGAAACACGTCTCTGTTTTGCAACCAAAGTATTATTCCATTTTAAGTATTCTGTACATTTCTGTTTGCTTCTGTAAACTTGCAGAATAAGTGGTGAGAGATTGCTGATGTGTGGGGACTTGACTGAGTAGACAACAGGGCTGTTTCTTTTTCTTGGCGGGTCTCAGTGGCCTTCGTCGCCACTCGATGAGCAGGCCCAGTCATAGATGACCAAGGGAATGCTGACCAAGGAGAACACCACCCCCAGGCCCAAGAAAAGGGCAGCCTGGAGCAAGAGAAAGGCAAGGGTTATTTTCAGTGCAGTAAAAATTTTCCACATGTACCTGGGGAAAAAAAAATAGAATGGTTTTCCGTCTCCCTTTGTGTCCCCTGGTATTCAGAGTTTGTCACAACCATGGCTGAACTGTGAGAATCTTTCTAAAATTGTATGAATCCGATTCTGCAAGGATGGGAAAATAGAAAAAAAAAAAAAAAACAAGCTAAGCAGAGTATCCCTCTATGTCCCATTCTTTGACTTCATGGTCACCTCAAGTGTATGACTTCATGGTCACCTCAAGTGTATGTATCCATTCTACAATGACTGGGTATCCTTATGGCTTCTCTCAAACTAATATTACAACCAAAGGGGAAAAAAAGGCCTTAGAAAATATCCAGGTCATTTTGTTATTCATTACCTACCAACCTAGCTTATCACTGGCAAGCAAACATTTCTGTTTGAAAAAGTGGAAAAAAACATACAAAAGCAAAATAGATTTAAGTGAAATAGGAAACAGGTGCCAAAAACTAAGTTACCTGAAGGGCTGATGAAGGCCATAGGTGGACAGATGATGATATGGTTTGGTGTGCCCCTACCCAAATCTCATCTTGAATTTTAGCTCCCATAATTCCCACGTCATAGGAGTGACCCGGTGGGAGGTAATTGAGTCCTGGGGGCGGATCTTTCCCATGCTGTGCTCGTGATAGTGAATACATCTCATGAGATCTGTTGATTTTATAAAGGAGAGTTCCCCTGAACATGCTGTCTGTCTGCCACCATGTAAAATGTGCCTTTGCTCCTTGTTTGCCCTCCACTATGATTGTGAGGCCTCCCCAGTCGTGTGGAATTGTGAGTCAATTAAACCTCTTTCCTTTATAAATTACCCTGTCTCAGGTATTTTTTAAAATTATACTTTAAGTTCTAGGGTACATGTGCATAACGTGCAGGTTTGTTACATAGGTATACATGTGCCATGTTGGTTTGCTGCACCCATCAACTTGTAATTTACATTAGGTATTTCTCCTAATGCTATCCCTCCCCAAGTCCCCCACCCTATGACAGGCCCCGCTGTGTGATGTTCCCTGTCCTGTGTCCATGTGTTCTTGTTGCTCAACTCCCACCTATGAGTGGAAACATGCAGTGTTTGGTTTTCTGTCCTTGTGATAGTTTGCTTAGAATGATGGTTTCTAGCTTCATCCATGTACCTTCAAAGTACATGAGCTCATCCTTTTTTTATGGCTGCGTACTATTCCATGGTATACATATGTCACATTTTCTTAATCCAGTCTATCATTGATGGACATCTGGGTTGGTTCCAAGTCTTTGCTATTGTGAATAGTGCCACAATAAACATACGTGTGCATGTGCCTTTATAGTAGCATGATTTATAATCCTTTGGGTATATACCCAGTAATGGGATGGCTGGGTCAAATGGTATTTCTAGTTCTGGATCCTTGAGGAATCACCATACTGTCTTCCATAATGGTTGAACTAATAATTTACACTCCCACCAACAGCATAAAAGCGTTACTATTTCTCCACATCCTCTCCAGCCTCTGTTGTCTCCTGACTTTTTAATGATCGCCATTCTAACTGGCATGAGATGGTATCTCATTGTGGTTTTGATTTGCATTTCTCTGATGACCAGTGATGATGAGCATTTTTTCATATCTCTGTTGGCTGCATAAATGTCTTCTTTTGAGAAGTGTCTGTTCATATCCATTGCCCACTTTTTGATGGGGTTGTTTTTTTCTTGTAAATTTGTTTAAGTTCTTTGTAAATTCTGGATATTAGCCCTTTGTCAGGTGGGTAGACTGCAAAGATTTTCTCCCATTCTGTAGGTTGCCCGTTCACTCTGATGGTAGTTTCTTTTGCTATGCAGAAGCTCTTTAGTTTAATGAGATCCCATTTGTCTATTTTGGCTTTTGTTGCCATTGCTTTTTGTGTTTTAGCAATGAAGTCTTTGCCCATGTCTGTGTCCTGAATGGTATTTCCTGGGTTTTCTTCTAGGGTTTTTATGGTTTTAGGTCTAACATTTAAGTCTTTAATCCATCTGGAATTAATTTTTTGTATAAGGTGTAAGGAAGGGATCCAGTTTCAGCTTTCTACAAATGGCTAGCCAGTTTTCCCAGCACCATTTATTAAATAGGGAACACTTCCCCCATGGCTTGTTTTTGTTAGGTTTGTCAAAGCTCAGATGGTTGTAGATGTGTGGCGTTAATTCTGAGGCCTCTGTTCTGGTCCATTGGTCCATATATCTGTTTTGGTACCAGTACCATGCTGTTTTGGTTACTGTTGCCTTGTAGTATAGTTTGAAGTCAGGTAGCATGATGCCTCCAGCTTGTTCTTTTTGCATAGGATTGTCTTGACTATGTGAGCTCTTTTTTGGTTCCATATGAACTTTAAAGTAGTTTTTTCCAATTCTATGAAGAAAAGTCAGTGGTAGCTTGATGAGGATAGCATTGAATCTATAAATTACCATAGGAAGTATGGCCCTTTATACGATATCAATTCTTCCTATCCATGAGCATGGAATGTTCTTCCATTTGTTTGTGTCCTCTTTTATTTCATTGAGCAGTGGTTTGTAGTTCTCCTTGAAGAGGTCCTTCACATCCCTTGTAAGTTGGATTCCTAGGTATTTTATTCCCTTTAGAGTAAATATGAATGGGATTTCACTCATGATTTGGCTGTTTGTCTATAATTGGTGTATAGGAATGCTTGTAATTTTTGCACTTTCATTTTGTATCCTGAGACTTTGCTGAAGTTCCTTATCAGTTTAAGGAGATTTTGGGCTGAGATGATGGGGTTTTCTAAATATACAATTAGGTCATCTGCAAACAGAGACAATTTGACTTCTTCTTTTCCTAACTGAATACCCTTTTTTTCTTTCTTGTGCCTGATTGCCCTAGCCAGAAGTTCCAACGCTATGTTGAGTAAGAGTGGTGAGAGAGGGCATCCTGTCTTGTGATGGTTTTCAAAGGGAATGCTTCTAGTTTGTGTCCATTCAGTATGATATTGGCTGTGGGTTTGTCATAAATAGCTCTTTATTATTTTGAGATATGTTCCATCAATACCTAGCTTATTGAGAGTTTTTAGCATGAAGGACTGCTGAATTTTGTCAAAGGCCTTTTCTGCATCTATTGAGATAATCATGTGGTTTTTGTCATTGGTTCTCTTTATGTGATGGATTACATTTATTGATTTGCATATGTTGAACCAGTCTTGCATCCCAGGGATGAAGCTGACTTGATCGTGGTGGATAAGCATTTTGATGTGCTGCTGGATTTGGTTGGCCAGTATTTTATTGAAGGTTTTTGCATCAATGTTCCTGAGGGATATTGGCCTAAAATTCTCTTTTTTTGTTGTGTCTCTACCAAGCTTTGATAACAGGATGATGCTAGCCTCATAAAACGAGTTAGGGAGGATTCCTTCTTTTCTACTGATTGAAATAGTTTCAGGAGGAATGGTGCCAGCTCCTCTTTGTACGTCTGATAGAATTCGGCTGTGAATCCTTCTGGTCCTGGACTTTTTTTTGGTTGGTAGGCTATTATTTACTGCCTCCACTTCGGAACCCGTTATTGATCTATTCAGATATTCAACTTCTTCCTGGTTTAATCTTGGGAGGGTGTATGTGCCCAGGAATTTATACATTTCTTCTGGATTTTCTAGTTTATTTGCGTAGAGATGTTTATAGTATTCTCTGATGGTAGTTCGTATTTCTGTGGGATCGGTGGTGATATCCCTTTATCATTTTTTTATTGTGTCTATTTGAATCGTCTCTCTTTTCTTCTTTATTAGTCTTGCTAGCAGTCTATCTATTTTGTTGATCTTTTCAAAAAACCAGCCCCTGGATTAACTGATGTTTTGAAGGGTTTTTTTTGTGTGTGTGTCTCTGTCTCCTTCAATTCTGCTCCGATCTTAGTTATTTCTTACCTTCTGCTAGCTTTTGAATGTGTTTGCTCTTGCTTCTCTAGTTCTTTTAATTGTGATGTTAGGGTGTCGATTTTAGATCTTCCTTGCTTTCTCTTGTGGGCATTTAGTGCTCTAAATTTGCCTGTACACACTGCTTTAAATGTGTCCCAGAGATTCTGGTATGTTGTATCTTTGTTCTCTCTGGTTTCAAAGAACATCTTTATTAATGCCTTCATTTCATTATTTACCCAGTAGTCATTCAGGAGCAGGTTGTTCAGTTTCTATGTAGTTGTGTGGTTTTCAGTGAGTTTCTTAATCCTGAGTTCTAATTTGATTGCACTGTGTCTGAGAGACAGTTTTTTGTGATTTCTGTTCTTTTTAAATTTGCTGAGTATTTTACTACCAATTATGTGGCCAATTTTAGAATAAGTGCAATGTAGTGCTGAGAATAATATATATTCGGTTGATTTGGGGTGGAGTGTTCTGTGGATGTCTATTAGGTCTGCTTGGTGCAGAGCTGAGTTCAAGTCCTGGATATCCTCCATAACCTTCATTCTCATTGATCTGTCTAATATTGACAGTGGGGTGTTAAAGTCTCCCATTATTATTGTGTGGGAATCTAAGTCTCCTTGTAGGTCTCTAAGGACTTGCTATATGAATCTGGGTGCTCCTGTGTTGAGTGAATATATATTTAGAATAGTTAGCTCTTCTTGGTGAATTGATCCCTTTACCACTATGTAGTGGCCCTCTTTAAGTCTTTTGATCTTTATTGGTTTAAAGTCTGGTTTATCAGAGACTAGGATGGCAACTCCCGTTTTTTTCTTTTTTCTTTTCTTTTTTTTTGCTTTCTATTTGCTTGGTCGATCTTCCTCCATCCATTTATTTTGAGCCTATGTGCGTCTTTGCATGTGAGATGGGTCTCCTCAATACAGCACACTGATGGTTCTTGACTCTTTATCAAATTTGCCAATCTGTGTCTTTTAATTGGGGTATTTAGCTCATTTACACTTAAGGTTAATATTGTTATGTTTGAATTTGATCCTGTCATTATGATGTTAGTGTTTTTTTTGCTCGTTAGTTGATGTGGTTTTTTCATAGCGTCACTAGTCTTTACCATTTGGCATGTTTTTGCAGTGGCTGGTACTGGTTGGTCCTTTCTATGTTTAGTGCTTCCTTCAGGAGCTTTTGTAAGGCAGGCCTGGTAGTGATACAATCTCTCAGCATTTGCTTGTCTGTAAAGGATTTTATTTCTCCTTCACCTATGAAGCTTAGTTTGGCTGGATATGAGATTCTGGGTTGAAAATTCTTTTCTTTAAGAATGTTGAATATTGGCCCCCACTCTCTTCTGGCTTGTAGGGTTTCTGCCGAGAGATCTGCTGTTAGTCTGATGGGCTTCCCTTTGTGGGTAACCCTACCTTTCTCTCTGGCTGCCCTTAACATTTTTTCCTTCGTTTCAACCTTGGTGAATCTGACAATTATGTGTCTTGGGGTTGCTCTTCTCGAGGAGTATCATGGTGTTTTCTGTATTTCCTGAATTTGAATATTGGCCTGCCTTGCTAGGTTGGGGAAGTTCTCCTGGATAGCATCCTGAAGAGTGTTTTCTAACTTGGATCTATTCTCTCTGTCACTTTCAGGAACACCAATCAAACGTATATTTGGTCTTTTCATACAGTCCCATATTTCTTGGAGGGTTTGTTCATTTCTTTTCACTCTTTTTTCTCTAAACTTCTCTTCTAGCTTTATTTCATTAATTTGATCTTCAATCACTGATACCCTTTCTTCCACCTGATCAAATCGGCTATTGAAGCTTGTGCATGGGTCACGATGTTCTCGTGCTGTAGTTTTAAGCTTCATCAGGTCATCTGAGGTCTTCTCTACACTGTTTATTCTGGCTAGCCATTGATCTAATCTTTTTTCATGGTTTTTAGCTTCCTTGCAATGGGTTAGAACATCCTCCTTTAGCTCAGAGAAGTTTGTTATTACCGACTTTCTGAAGCCTACTTCTGTCAACTCGTCAAACTCATTCTTCATTCAGTATTGTTCCTTTATTGGTGAGGAACTGTGATCCTTTGGAGGAGAAGAGGTGCTCTGCTTTTTGGAATTTTCAACTTTTCTGCTCTGGTTTCTCTTCAACTTTGTGGTTTTATCTACCTTTGGTCTTTGATGTTGGTGACCTATAGATGGGGCTTTGGTGTGGATGACCTTTTTGTTGATGTTGATGCTATTCCTTTCTCTTTGTTAGTTTTCCTTCTAATAGACCCCTCAGCTGCAGATTTGTTGGGGTTAGCTGGAGGTGCACTCCAGAACCTGTTTGCCTGGGTATCACCAGCAAAGGCTGCAGAACAGCAAATATTGCTGCCTGATCCTTCCTCTGGAAACTTCGTCCCAGCGGGGCACCTGTATGTGTGAGGTGTCAGTCAGCCCCTGCTGGGAGGTGTTTCCCAGTCAGGGACCTGCTTGCGGTGGCAGTCTGTCTGTTCTTGGAGCTCAAATGCCGTGCGAAGAGAACCACTGCTCTCTTCAGAGCTGTCAGACAGGGACATTTAAGTCTGCAGAAGCTGTCTGCTGCCTTTTTTTCTGCTCTGCTCTGTCCCCAGAGGTGGACTCTATAGAGGCAGTAGGCCTTGATGAGCAGCAGTGGGCTCCATCCAGCTCATGCTTCCCGGCCTCTTTGTTTACACTGTGAGCTACTCAAGCCTCAGGAATGGTGGATTCCCCCCTGGATCAAGCTGCAGCCTCGCAGGTCGATCTCAGACTGTTGCGCTAGCAGTGAGTAAGGCTCCACTGGCATGGGACCCACTGAGCCAGACATGGGAGGGTATTTCCTGGTCTGCTGGTTGCTAAGACTGTGGGAAAAGTGCAATATTTGGTCAGGAGTGTACCGTTTCTCCAGGTATAGTCTGTCATGGCTTCCCTTGGCTAAGAAAGGGAAATCCGCTGACCCCTTGTGCTTCCTGGGTGAGGCGATGCCCCACCCTGCTTCAGTTTGCCCTCCATGGGCTGTACCCACTGTCCAACCAGTCCCAATGAGATGAACCAGGTACCTCAGTTGGAAATGCAGAAATCACCCATCTTCTACAATCTTGCTGGGAGCTGCAGACTGGAGCTGTTCCTATTTGGCTATCTTGGAAGCAATCTCGGGTATTTCTTTATTAGCAGTGTGAGAACAGACTAATACAGATTACTAAATCCAGAATCCAGAGAACACAAGATTATATGTTCCTTGTGCTTGAGCATGTTCAGTGAGAGCGCTGCAGGGAGAAGGATGATGCATTCTGAGAGCCAACAGGGCTGGACTGGAAACTGGAGGAGGAGAAAGAGCTAGGGAAGGAGAGGAGCGAATTGGGGGTTGAGATGGCTGCACATGGCATATCATCCTGGGTTCAGTCTAACTCCCAGTGATCCCTACACAGATGGAGCCCTTGTCTAATGCCATTTGGCAGACCCTACTACTCGTTTTATTATGGGACCAGGGTTGGAGAAGCTCAGAATTCATAGACAGCAGGCCTCCACCATTTTCAGATTTAGTCTGAATATACTGTCCCATTGTGCCAGAGTGACTGCTTCATCCTCTCTGTCCTCATTAAGCCCCTACAGGTAAGTCTTGGAAAGATTTGGGAATTAAGGTTTCAGGGGTGATCATGTTGGAGAACTGGATGCTCTAATAGCATCAGTGCTGCTTTTCCTAAATGCACAGGGATGACCCTCCTGCCTACACTTCTCATCTGGATCTGTTGACTCAGGTAACAGGTACAATTGCAGTGCTTTCACTAGCTGGGAGGGTAAGTAGGAAGCCTTCTCTGAGGCCAAGCAAAATGGAGCTCCAGAAGGGACTCAGGTACCAGCCACTTCACCCCTGCTTCCCTCACTGTCTCCAAGTGCACCACCTTCAAGATGCCCTTGAACCTCATCAGACCTGGAAACAAGGATCCCAACATAGAAAGGCAGTTTTTGAATCCAGGTCTGTTGTTCCAAAGCATATCTGTCAAATAATAAAAAGACTATTTAAGCTAACTCAGACATTTTAATTAAGGCATTGCATGTTCCCTGGGCTGTAGGGAGGAGTTACATGAGTAGAAATCATATGGAAACAGTGGACTGCCTAACCTCTGTGAGTCCCTCGTCAATTCCTCTCTTGCTAAAGACTAGACACTGTCCTATAGAGACACAAGAGGATGAATGTCCATTCTTCTGACTGGCTATACCCTGGATCAGAACAAAAGCTGAGGCACCATAAGAGTAAAACCAGAGGGCCGGGCACGGTGGCTCATGCCTATAATCCCATCATCGGGGAGGCCAAGGCGGGCGGATCACGAGGTCAGGAGATCCAGACCATCCTGGCTAACATGGTGAAACCCTGTCTCTACAAAAAAATACAAAAAAAAAAAAAAAAAAAAAAATTAGCCAGGCATGGTGGTGGTTGCCAGCTACTCAGGATGCTGAGGCAGGAGAATGGCGTGAACCTGGGAGGTGGAACTTACAGTGAGCTGAGATCATGCCACTGCACTCCAGCCTCGGTGACAGAGTGAGACTCCGTCTCAAAAAAAAAAAGAGTAAAATCAGAAAAGATATTTGGAGGGACGGGAGAAGATTCTGATATGATATTTTAAATCTCTCCCAAGTAGCAAAGCTACAGGGCTTCTGCCTCCTTTCAAGGCAACTGAAAGTAGTCTTGATAGAAAGGTGGACTATTTATTTTGTAAATTTAAATGGAAAACTAATCAGAAAAGTTAGAGTGGCTGGCAAGAGACATACCCAAATTCTTTGAGTTCCTTTATCTCCATCCTGGTGTGTGATTTTTAAATAAAGAGATGAAGGAAGAATGAAAATAAGCATGTTAGCAGATGTAACTCCTATAAAATAAGAAAAAAGAGAAAATTTAGCATTGCTATTGTGAAATTTTCCCTCCAAACAGCTACTGTAGAATGAGAAGCCCAAAGTCATGAAGTCATACCTACGACTCCAAAAATATCCTTCATGGAGGGTATGAAGATCACCAACAAGTTGATAACAACCAAGAGTATGCAGGTAACCACGATATGACGACATAAATTAAACTTTGTTTTCTTAGCCAGTTCAAATAAAGATGAACGAACCTGCAAGAAGAGAAAACAAAGATTCTGTAAATGCCTACAGCATGCCCACACTGACATTTCTCCGCAGAGTAACTGATTTATTGGTGCACATGAATTCATGAAATGTTTTGTAATGCCTAGTGAATTTATAGGTAGTTTAACAGTTTTGGAAGTTCTGGGGCTTGACTTAAGGAGGGAAAGTATTTTTATTTATAGAATAGTAGAGTTTTCTTTTGTGGGGGGGTGTAATTTCTGTCTTTGATTTATCTAAGACTTGAGTGTTCATTTCTGATTTTTTACATTCTCTCTTCATGTCTGACTGAAATTTGAACATTCTATTGTCATTTCTTTGTAAAGAACAGGGTCAGATTAATTAGAATGAAGATTCACTGCATCAGAGGCTCCCTGATGCACTGAATGCCACTTGCTTTTCAAACAGCCTGAACTGAGTCTTGGGATCTTTCCCAGATGCAGATTCAATAACCGAGGAAAGTTACCTGGGGCAGGCTTTCTCTGCAACCGGCTCCTGCAGGCAGAAGGAAAGCTGAGACCTCAGGTTTTCTCATATTGCACCGAGGCCCTTACTCACCGTGAAAAATAACACCGGCACTGTGAGGATCACAGCAACAATGACAGCCAGCCGCACTGTCAGGATAAGAATGTCATCTTTACTCTGATACTTGTGAAGGAGGTCTGACTGCACGTTGTCTGAAATGAGGGAAAAGCAAGAGGGTTTTAAAGGGAGATAAAGTATATCAGTTTTTTTGAACAACAAAGAATTTGTAAACTAAAGGGCAAGTAAAGTAATGTTTTGAAATGTCTATTAAAACAATTCAGTTGGAAAGAAAAATCTCTAGGTAAGACATGCTCCACTGTGCATATGCAACTTAGCAAAGGAGTTTAAAATAATCACTAGAAGAAGCTACATGGGGTGGGAATGCTTAATTTAGACTAAATTAAACCTAGGAGTACACTGGGCTTGAAAATGAAACATACAGTTGAAGCACGAAGCTGCTCTTAATCTAGACTTTCCCTCTACTCTTCAAACCATGCCAAACGACCACAAGCTTGCTCAGGGAGAGTGGGGGTGGGGTGGGGGGTGCTACAAGCCACCTTGGAGCTTGTTTCAAACTCTTCTCTTGTTAAGTCAACTTCAAGTGGCCAAGCAGCAGAGGCACTAGCTGAAATTTCACCATCAGGAAATAATTCCACTCTTCCATGTATATTGTTCTTGTTAAAAAAAAAAAAAATAGTTTATGTACTACTGTGTCTGTGTGTGTGTGTGTGTGTGTGTGTGTGTGTGTGTGTGTGTGTGTGTTGAGACAGGGTTTTGCTCTTTCACCCAGGCTGCAGTGTGGTTGCCGTAGTGCCATGTTGGCTCACTGCAACCTCTGCTTCATGGGCACAAGCAATTCTCCTGCCTCAGCCTCCTGAGTAGCTGGGACTACAGGCGTGTGCCACCATGTGTGACTAATTTTTGTGTATGTATATATATTTTTGGTAGAGATGGGGGTCTCATTAAGTTGCCCAGGCTGGTCTTGAACTCCTAGGCTCAAGCTATCCACCTACCTAGGCCTCCCAAGATGCTGGGATTACAGGTACAAGCCACCACACCTGGACTTATGTACTACGTTGAACTTTTTCTCAACTCAGAACTTCAGAAAGTGTTATTTTAAAGACTAACAAAGCTAGAATGGCAGTCCCATAGAGTATGAAACTGCTCACTCTTTTGACAAGAGATAATTTCCCCTCCTGTCTCCTGCAAGGGCTTCTCACTGCACCAGTCTCAAGGTTCTCAGCATGGAATTCAAATGCTAATCTGTACCATAGAGCTTGGTCTCAGTTTCCAAAACCGAACCATAAGTTATAATACGAATCTCACTAGTTCTAATTTCCTTAATTCAAAATAACTAACCACTTAAAAATAGCTAAGCCTTTTTATTTAATCCAAGAGTAATACAAGTGTTTGGTGTTCTATTCTATGTGAAAACAATGCATTTACAAAGAAAAATTATAGCTTGAACAAGACAACAGTGAGACTTCAACTAACATTAAGTTCTCCCCCTCTCTCTCCCTATACCCACTGCAGCCCTGAAACTCTGTAGGCACCTTAGCAACACCATTTTTATGTAAAAATTAAATATAGTATTTATGAATTCATTAGACAATGCTATTCTCTATTGCTAGTGAAAATGATAATAATAACATCTGTATAATCAGAGTAGCCTTTTTCTCCAGGCTGAATTAATAATTTTTAAATGTGCTTAATTTTGAGACATTTATGTTTATGATAAAAAGTTCCAAAGAATTATTATTTAGTAGAAAAGATTGTGAAATACATACAGATATACATATATATATAGGTACACACACACATATATACACACATATATATATTTAAATTAGGTCCCCAATTATAAAGATAATGAAAGGTATTAAATAAAGTTTCAGGATAATTTGAATAGGAGAGGATGAAGAAGCAGTAAAAGCCAGTAAACTGTTCATTCAGGGTCAGTAAAGGTTACATATGAAAACTTGTTCCCTTTTTCAGATTTCATTTTTTAAAATTTTCTATATCATTCCTTCAGATCTTTGCAAGGTTCCGACTTACAGTGAACAATTAGGAGTTTCATTTTTAATTAACTCAGAGTGTCATGAGTGTAGCACTCTGCTCTTTCTCACTTTCAGCATCTGTCTCTGTCTCTCCATTCTATTAATGGAATCTGACCCAATTTGCAGTGTCAATTAGGAAAGCCTTGTCTGATGTAGTTTTAAACCCTCCTCAGTAAAGTTAGCATGCTTCTAAAATGCAATTTCTTTTAAGGACACTGTTAGGAGAAAAAAATTATAAATATTGTTTTAGTAAATATTTTATTTTGCAGTCTGCATGAACATGTAAAGATCACCATTGCTTTAAGTAGAAGAAAAAACTAGAAAAACCAATGGATAGCTTTGTTGCTCTCTTTGCCTTTCACGTTAAAAGTTATTTCAACACTGATTTTTACTAATTTGTTTACAAATACTTATATTTATGTACCAGTAGAAATTACTTACCATAGAATGTCAAGTAGCCAAAAATGGCAGTCAGGAAGTACATAACAAACATGGCGAAAAAGGAGATGTTTGAAACCATCTGCATTTTTTTCTGTGATCGGCTAAAAACAAATAAATGTTAAAAATTAAAAATCATATCACTGAATTTAAGCGCCAGTGTTAACATTGAAGAATACTAATTTAACTTTGCCTCTATCAGGTTAGGGAAGATCTGAACAGCTGAAATTACCCCTGGCAGTTATGCCAGTTGAAAATAACCTCTCTTACACCGAATTGGTATTGATCCATGGAGATTCATGGAACTACACTCCCGTAAGTGTTCTTCCCCATTCTTTTAAAAGAATATCAAGTTCTCATCGGAAGGGCAGATAGCATTTTAAAAATATTTGGCCTTGATATTATCTCCACACTAGCTGGACAAAGGAAAACATGCAGAAAAAAATCAGTGCTGTTCTCCTAGCTCCAGAGATTAGCGGCAGAGCTGGAACTTGACCTAAGGTGTTCTGTCTCTAAAGCTGCTGTTTTAGGTTCTGATTTTCCCATTGGGTGGCCTCAGGGATGCACCTGGAAGTCTGCAGGTCTCCAGTGCACCAAGCACCCAAGAGATCACAGCTGGAATGATGAAGGGCTCCATCTCTCAGGTCAAGTTCACTCTGGGGTTGGGATGACCCTCTAAGTTGCTTTAACTGCCCAAACAATTAATCTGCAAGACTGGTATTCAATAAATAACAGACCACAGATAGTCATAACATTTGATTATGTCATAACAAGGAATCTGGGATGCCATGGGAGTATGGAAAACAAGAAAAATTGAGAAGTAGGCTGGGCGCGGCGGTTCACGCCTGTAATCCCAGCACTTTGGGAGGACGAGGCGGGCGGATCATCTGAGCTCAGGAGTTCAAGACCAGCCTGGGCAACATGGTGAAACTCTGTGTCTACAGAAAATACAAAAGTTAGTTGGGTGTGCGGGCATGTGCCTGTAGTTCCAGCTACCTGAGAGGCTGAGGTGGGAGGATTGCTTGACCCTGGGAAGTTAAGACTGCAGTGAGCTGAGATCATACTATAGCACTATAGTCTGGGTGACAGAGTAAGACTCTGTCTCAAAAAAAAAAAAAAAAAAAAAGGTAAAGAAAAATTGAGAAGTATACACTTGAGAAAATTAAAAACTAAAACGAAAAGCTGAACTATTAAAAGATGCCAAAGACAAGGGCAACAAATCATGGATTTCTCTTCCCCGAGGAAAGGGTATCCGCCTCACCATTGCTGAAGAGAGAGACAAAAGACTGGCAGCCAAACAGAGCAGTGGGTGAAATGGGTCCCTGGGTGACATGTCAGACCTTTGTACGTAATTAAAAATATTGTGGCAGGAAAAAAAAAAAGATGCCAAAGATATATTTAAATTCTCCAAATAGAGGATCACAAACTAGGAGTGATGTATATACACATAGATGTGGATGGTTTAAAATTTAGCCATGTATCAATTAAATATGAAAAAAATGCGTGGATTCAATTCTAAATGACATCAACTTTGTTTCAAAATGGAAATAAATACCAATATTGTCTATCTTTTCTAAGTTTTTAAGATTATGCTATGGTGACTATTTTTGTTTATGTTTGATAACCGTAGGCTAAAAAGAGAACACATGAAGACGTTTATAAGCAGGCCTTAATTTTCTCAAAACCAGCAATCAAAAATAAATCAATAAATCCATAGAATTTTCTTAATAGTTAAAAATGAACAGCAATATTCTCTTTTCCTAGTTTGTGGCCATAACATTGATGTCTTATTGTCTGATTTACTAGCCTTTTCACCCAAACCAACAGGCAATCAGAGACAATGTATTTAGCAGTTTACAGATGAATCTGAAGATTATCACCCACTTGCAAAATACGCATACATAATGGAAAGCAACACAAATACTCAAACTGTCCTCGGTGATACAATATTCGAAAAACCAATTAATGAAAAAGCCCACATGGTTGGCTACTTTTTATGTTTATGACCCCCCCAAATACTGCAAGTTTCTGATTTTTCTTGCTTTCTTGATTCTTAAAATACAATGCTTGTTTAAGAATGGCAGGATGTGAGTAAATGTTGAAGCTAGGTGATGAATCCACCTACGTTCATTAGACAAGTCTGTTTATTTTAATTCCATACTTGCCTATTAATGAGGAGATGTAAAACGATTAAGATTAAAAAATTAAACAAATTTCTTACTCTTTAAGCTCACTGTAAATTGGCAGGACTGATGGGTGGCAGACAAATGCAAATGCAATGGTTGGTAAAGCATACACGGTCTATTTGAGAGAAAAGAACAGACATTAGGAAAAACACTTTTACCATAAAAATGACACAGCTCCAGTATTTCTGAGCTCTTTTCATCTGACAGCTCTTCAGAATCCCTGGATTATTCGGTTATTAGGAGGGTTTTGATCTCCAAAATAGAAGCAGCTTTTCTAAGAGAGCTTATCTAGCTAGAGCCATTAGCCACTTGTCACAGAGGGACTTTGGATTTGGCTCACCTACGGCGTATTTTATATACTCCAGGTATACAACACCCCTGTTTATACAGCATGAGCCAGTTACATGGCACTCTTCCTAGGATAGCTCACTGGGTCCCCACAGCAATCCCAAGCAGTAGGCAGACTATGGCTGTTCTCCTGGCTCCCTCCAACGGGTCAGGTGACTGGCCCAGCACTCCCACCTCTAGTTTACTGCTCTTTGCTCTACATCAGGTGCATGGAATCAGACTTAAAAGATATCCTCTGAAAAGAAAATCTGTTTCATATTGCACTACTTTGGCTATATCCTTACAATTAGAGATAAAGAGAGAAAATCCAATCTATTTAGCTTTCTTAGATAAGGCTCTTTGAAACTCTCAAACTCAATCTAACTTCCTATGCAAAAAGAAGTGAAAACTAGCCCATCTTATGCCCTAACTCTGCTGATGCACTATGCCAGGCGTATTCTAACAAAACCTTGTAAGATACAGAATAGAATCCTTATTTTTGCTCAAGAGGTTGGGTGACTTGCCTGAGGATTCAAATCCAAGCCTGACTGACTCTATAATCCTCTGTTTCCCATCGGTATCAACAATATTTTAATAGTATGAGTGTCTTTTAAGTGTCAGTTTGTGGTGGCATCTACATTTCAACTGTGCAAGCTGAGGAAGTCTGCAGTATTCATTTCTGTCATCACCAGAACCAGGGGGCAAAGGATGTTCCTAATCTGTTTTTGAAGCATCACCTAGCACTCTACACAGGAAAAGCTGAGACAATTATCCAGAATGGGATTTTGACAGGGAATGCTTAATGGTAAGAGAGAGTGTAAAATACAATATTTGTATATTTCTCAAGGATCTCTACATAGATGTGTAATCTAGAAGCAATGGTATCATGTGTTCTTTTGAGAACTAATACATTCAAAACAGTGCAATTACAAGTATGAGAAATAGAATGCCCTTAATAAAAATGCTCGTTTCATCTGCAAAGGATCAGGAAACTTACCTTTGAATTGAAGGTAACATATTTTGGCGTACACATGTCAGCATTTGTTGAATTAGCACTTATTGTTGAATTTAGCTCTGGAACAATGCAGGGAATTTGAAATTTCTTGTAAATAACCTGGTATTAAGAAGTATAGTAGAAGCAGTATGGACTTTAGTAAAGCCAAATAATGAATAATTATTACATGCCATTGTACTGTCACAAAACCAAACCAGCCATTTCAATCAGCACTTACCACTATTAGGAAAAAAACCATACAGCTCAAGGAAAATCCACTAGTATAGCCAAGATACCCTTTAAAAAAAGTAAAAAATAAATTATTTCTTTTTTTCCATTTTTAAAAATTTTGGAGCTACCCATCATAAACTGTTATTATTTCAAAATTCATCACCTCATTTATTTCAATGCATTATTTCAAGCATATTTTAGAGCTCCAATAATAAACATACGTGCCCAAGCGAATACAAGATTTATTATTTGACAGTGCTATTTTATTTGGCAAAAAAATGGGGCTCTGAATAAAAACATTATATTATGTGTTTTGATTCCAACTCTCCCTGCACACTAGAGAACACAGACTCCCAGAATCCAGCAGAAAAGAGCCTTCCAATTTTTGTTGTAAGTCTGTGTTGGTGGACTCTGATGGACTCCTATGGGCAAACCCATTTACTCCTTGATCCCCTCAATAGCTCTTTATTATGCACTTATTGTGTGCATACTGAATGTCAGTTATAATACTTTTCTCCCCAGATGAGAGAAAGTAGATGAAGCGAATTTCCAGTGGTAAATTGAGTATCTGGGGATCTTTAGCTAGCTCCCCGTAGAATGCCTAGGCGATCTCCAATTGCCACCATGACCTCCAGAAAGGTAGAGTTAAGTAGCCTCTCAAGACTGCATTATTTTCAACCCTGGGGAAGACCTTTTCTCTACTTAACTGAAAAGAGCTACCTCTATAGGTACGGAAAACACAGATGCAGAAACTGGAAAATTAAGTAGTTAAAAAAAAATCTATTTATAAACCTCACAGAACAGCTACAGAGGTCTGATATTTTGATCCAAAACAAAGCAAAAAACTGAGGCTCATAATTATTGTTCGAAGAACTTTTATCCAAACTTTTGTTTGAATTAGCCCAGAATTAAAGTAAATACATTTTACAGATTTTTGACTGGATGGCAGTCTGGCCACATTATTCAATGTATGAAATTCCCCTAACATCAGGCATCCTTGTCTTCAAATACAAGCATAAAAACAAGTAGTAGATCAAAGCCAAATGGATATGACTTGGGGATTATCCACCATTTCTGACTTTTGATTTATCTCTCCCACTTCGAAGAGAAATAATTGAGGCTGGCTAGACTCTCTAAATTTATAATACTTGTGGGTATAAATCTAGGCAGCTTTCTGTCTCCATAGTAGATTTGAAAATATATTTATCTAAATAATGATGGTAGTTAAGACTTCGTATGAAGAGAATTCCATTTTTTGGACTTTTTTCAGAGTAGCATATAAGTTGTACTTTTGAAAATAGCCCTGTCTGTCCTGGCCCCAGAACCTCCCTTCTCCCCTCCACAGCTCAGTAGAGAGATTGTTTAGGAGGTCACATACTGACTATTGCTTTTATCCCATATTAAAGTTGGCACCGATTAATACTTGTAATTTATCATGCACTTCATCTTTGAGCGCATGCAGAGGGGAAGCAGAGGGCAATGCTGTCCATGTTTACTCAGTTTCTGATTCACTGGGGCACTGCAGAATATGATAAAAACAAAATCTGTCCTTACCTAAGTTCTTCAAGAGACACAGAGGGAGAATTATGCCAAAGGTAACTATCACCACCAGAACTCGGCCATCCACGTACCAGGCTCTGAAAGGCATTTCAGGGGTTAGGTTATATTTTTTTAGAAAGTGACTTTTTCCCCCTCCAGTGTAAAATTTCATGGTATGTATTTTTATTAATTTTTACTATATCCATTAATTTTTAAAATCATTATTCAGATCTTATCCAAACACTTTAACCCAACCACTACTTACTTACTACAGCTTCACTCCCATGTAATGGAAGAAGGAATATTGTTGTTGTTTTTTCTTTGCCATTGGCTAAATGTGGCATTCTTTTGAATTATTTACATGGTTTCCAAACTGAATGCATACATTGTATTCTGTCAGATTACAACTTGTCCTACCAATTATTTAAAGAGAAAGCTCCTTTTTGTTTTGCTGGGCTAGCATCAGCGAGAAACAAGTCACCACAGGTAGGCATTTCTCTCTCCCTGATCCCTTGGATTTGACCTTGAATCCTGAGAACACTAGAAACTCTGGCTTCTATGATTCTCCCTTGAAAGAAAACAGAGAAACTAAGACTGACAAGAACTGTTAAACAAGAGGGAGTCAAAACACAACTGTGCCAAATGCAGCTGCAACATTTTCCAGGGTTATCTATATCTTTAGTGAGGTTGGCTCATGTAAATTTTGCTTCCAAAATACTATGTCCCTTCTTTAAGCAAGAGGCTAGGGTCTTAATTTTTTTTTTCATGTTCCACTTTTGTGTTAAAAATATTCCATATCTGTTCTATTTCACCGAAACTAGATATAGATTTCAAGCTCTTGGGAAAATGCAGTATCTACCACTCACAGCATGACAGACAAATCTACCTTTCAAATGTTCATATTCAAATGACTCTCCTACTTTTTTCATTTATGTAGCCCCAAAGAAAATTTATTGTTGAAACAACAAACAAACAAAAACCAGCCTAGGAAAAACTTTCTGCAATATTCATAAAGCAAGAATTTTGATTTGCCCATATTTAAATGAAAAACATTTTAGTTATATCATTTAAAAAATGGTCTATAACTTACGAAAATGTCTCTTCCTTTCCCATGAGAAACTTTATGGCAGAGGGTAGTTCGTTTTTTACGATGAAGAGGTAGCTCAGCATTGCTGAAGGAAAATGAGAACATTTTTAGAAAGAAGATACGAAGGCTTACGTTGCAAGCTATGTAAAAAGTTATCACCCCGTTCTTAGACCAACCTTGTGTCAATAAGACACAAAGGCAACTTCAGCTACTCTAGCAGGATATGTGGCTTTAAATAAGTAACTGCTGTCTGCTTTACTTTCCCTGTGCCATTTTAGCAATGAGGATGATAACTGCTTGAATTATGTTAAAATTCATGCGGCCGCTTAGCCACCAGAATTAGTTTCAAGTTATGTATAGAAGAGCATGTTCTTTTTACCTCCAGTGTTCTGTAGAGAGGTGGCTCCAAAGATTACGAACTTCCCGGTGGTGCCAAAGACTTGTTCCCCCAGCTTTTCATATACCATGCAGCCTATTTAAAAATCAAATTTGAGAACACAAGAAATGACAGGGTTCAGAAAGTTAAAATAGTCAAGATTTTGTCATTCTACTGACAGTTCCCCAAGTTACTGTGTGCCTTTCTCAAACTCACACAAATAGTCATTTTGGCTTTGCAGGGTTTAAGGTATCCTCATTACAAAACAAACTCTTGACATTTTAAAATGTGAGACGCAACCATCATTTCTCCTTTTTCAAGTTGGCTACCAGAGCATTACAATTAACCTATTAGGTCATAAGGCTTATTTTTAACTACCTCTACCTTACAAAGGGGAAATTCCTTCTGTGATCTTTGTCTTCAGTCTGGTACATACCATTAAAATACATATTTGATTTAAAAAGATCCTAATAGTTGAAACAAAAAGATTCCTTTTGAATTAATGACTGATTAGGCTAATAAGGAATTATCTTAATAACATCCCATCAATGCCTCTGTGTTCTAAATGTAATAACAAGCTTAGACACATTTTAATAACCAATACATACAAAATCTAATCATTCATAAAATGCAGTTCAAATACATGCAACTCATAAAAGAGAGTAGAAGACTAATCTGTCAAAAGTATAATTTGTCTGTAGCAAAATTTGAAAATGTTCAACTAGCTCATCTCAATAAATACTAAAATTCTAAAGTATTCGCTTTTTAAAAAGTGTTTTATTTCTTTATAACTGTTCAGTTCATATTTTCAAAAGGTTCATGGAGAGCAATATGGGGCAGGCTATAATTAAACCTTTGTTTAATTTCTCATAAGACTAGTGTTTAAACTAGACAATGGTTAGCTCCTCAATTTATTATAAAATGTTCCAGTTAAATGGAGTCATGTATATATAATAATAGCTGGCCAGTGTGGTTTTAGCTAATGTAAAAGTCAAAGAATTACAAACATAATTCAGTGTCCCAGAAATAGAAAATAAACACTTCAGGTATTACACTGCCCAGAGTACTTGAAGTCTCTTCATAGCTTGCTCACTCCCACATTGCCTCAGGAGTAAAATTTTCTGCTTGGAATATGCACAAGAGAATGAAAGGTCTGCTTACTTTTAAAACCTTGGAAGCTATAATATAAAAACATGGAATCTTTGTTCTAGATTTATAAAGACCTAAGGAAAAACTGAAGCTTTTAAAATGAAGTCATTTTAAACTTGAAAAACAGGTATATAATTGAGGGTTCACTTTAAGTGACAACATTATTTCCTCATTGTCCATGACAATTTAATTTATATTTTGCTGCAACTGTTTCTCTAGATAAATACTCCCATAGGTCTTCTAATCACTCTAGGTCAAAGTAGTTGTTCTTTTTAATAATCAAATTGCTGTACAGAGAGAGAAGATCATTTGCTCCATAATGTCACCATAAAAATAATTCACCCTGGTTTTAACAAAATCAAACATGTCCTCAGCTTACCTGTTTCTTTTGAACAGATCAATAGGAGATTTATTGAATATATAGACAGCAATGTCACTGAAGTCAAAAGAACCCTAAGGCAAAGAAAATAAATTTTGTTGTAATAACTAGAAAAGAATATATTCTGACATTACAGTTTAGAAGGGCCAAGATTTATTTGTATGGTTAACACAATTTGTTAATAGTATCCAAATTTTGGAACCTATTAGTCATCCCTGTTTTAAGATCCTCAATAAAAATGTCCTACCAAATAAAGAAGTGCTCATTAGAATCTGAGTAACAGTTCAAATTCTTCATGTAATTTAAAGCCCAAACAGCTCTCTGGGAGCATTTCAGTTGAGATGACTTTAAAACAACATTCTGAAAGAAAGCTTTTGTAGTCTATGTTGCACTCTCTGTTACATCCGGGTGAGAAAGTGTGAGAATGGGGTGGGAGGGGCAAAGGGAAAGGCAGGCAGTGACTTTAGGAGAATGACCACCTGACTTTGGGCAACTTGCTTAACATTTCCCATCTCTGGATTCCTTGCCCATAATATAAAGATACAAGCCAAATGATGTCTAGGGTTCTATTCATCTATTACTTCATGGCTATTTTAACATCTATATATTGGGCTAATAATGTAATTTACTTTTTTTGCACCTGGTTCCTCTTAGATGAATAAGCACCCCTTGCTAACTAGTGGGAAAATTTGACAATCAAGTATAATGAAAAGACTTTTTTGAATGATGAACTCATGTTTTTGTTTTAGTACATCTGGCTCATTATCAAATGCTTCTCAAGAAAAAGTGCAGTTAAAATGATGTGGGAGATTATATAGATGATTTCTGAAACATTTGGTTAAAACAGACATGATAATTGAAAATAAAGCCTATTTATTAAAAAAGAAGGAAAAAAATCCAGTCCCCAAATGAAACCACTCACTTCCTGATGTGGGAAAATATATCCCTAGAACAATACATTACTGCAATTGACTCTACGTTTGAGTCATTAAAAGCAATTATTTTTCCACCAAGTGCTGTTGAGAGGCACTTGGCACATCATGCCGTTCGCTCTGCGTGGGCTGCTTCCACCTGGCTCTTCCCCCTCCCAGCACACCTGTTGAAGGCTGCTCTAGGCCCCAGCTCATATGCCAACTCCTCAGTCGCCTTCCCTGGCCCCAGGCAGAACGACTGCTCCTCAGCTGTCTATGATCCTACTGCGTTTTGTTTCTCCCACATACGAGGCAGCCATGAGGAGATAAACCAGGTGTACAGAATGGTCAGCAGCAGAACAGATGAACTGCCAGAAACTGGCCAGCAAGCAAATGAGGGGCAGAGCTCAGCAAAGGCAAAACAAACACTAGGAAAAAGAACAAAAGACCTAACACTTTGGGTAAAGGCCCAGCTGATCTGCCAATAAAGGGGAATTTAAGTTAAGAGATGATTGGTAAGGAAGTGCATTCAGATCTGGACTTATTTCCCTAAAATCCTTGAGTGAGGAGGCTGATTGATATGGTTTGGCTGTGTCCCCACCCAAATCTCATCTTGAATTGTAGCTGCCATAATTCCCGGTGGAAGATGATTGAATCATGGGGGCAGTTCCCCCATACTGTTCTTGTGGTAGTGAATAAGTCTCACAAGATCTGATGGGTTTTTTTAAATAAGGGGAAACCCCTTTTGCTTGTCTCTCAATTGTCTCTCATCTGTGGGCAAGTAAGATGTGCCGTTAGCCTTCTGCCATAATTGTGAGGCCTGCCCAGCCACGTGGAACTGTGAGTCTGTTAAACTTCTTTTTCTTTATAAATTACCCAGTCTCAGGAATGTCTTTATCAGGAGCATGAAAATTGACTAATACACTGATTAAGAGGGTAGGTCACTTACTATCTCTTCAAGTTGAGGGATGTGAGAAATGGAGAGCAAGCATTTATTAACCAACCCAGTAGTTCTGAGATAACGTAATGGAACAGGATTTGATATGCTCTGTCACAGAGTAAGATACAGGACCTAATTGTGGCGTGATTTTTTTTTTCTATCAAGTAAGATAAGCAATATTTATGTCAAAGAAGCAAGCTTTGGGTTTCCTGCAGAGTTCATTTGTGTTTTCAGGGACACAACACTAAGTAGCCACTTCTACATGAACATGTGACAGGCCCTAGAAGATTTCCGTGTGGCACAGAAGAATGTAGGCTTCCTAGTGGGGATAAAATGAGTGACATCTTAGGATGAGCCAGATGCTATTCAAGAGTGACCATGTGCCCTATTGGGTCTACTCTGCTGGGACCAAAGGTGACCAAAGGGATTTTCCCATGAGCCCAAGGCTAATGTATACAGAGTATGACCTTGTAGGAACTATCTATGTGCCTAGCAGGAGGGGATAGTTATGAATATTTACCTAATGATTTACAAAAGGCCCTAACCCTGGAGAACTCCGTATTTATTAGCAAAAGAAACATTCTAAGGAAACATTTGCTGTGTTCCCTCAGTCAGTAGCCCCGGCAACCACATGGTTCTTGCACATGGCTGTGTCTTAACACAATCTATGTGTTGAATCTCTTTGTAGATGATGCTTGTGGCATCCGGCCCTTTGAGCACCATAAACTGCTATACCCCTTTTTCAAGTGGGAGAAAAGTGTTGATTAGGGAAGAGTTTAGTAGTGTTCACTTATCTTCCACACCCCACTTAAACACAACAGAATGAGGTGCTCCCACAGTGATGCAAACAACCCCCTCCCATGTTTAAGAGGCATAACATTGCACCTCAGAGTACTCAGAGTCTGACAGTTTTGCCTTTAACTGTCCGATCTGCAAAGACTCTCTTCTTAGTCCTTTCCCAAATGTAGATCTTCTCTTCCAAGACTGAAAACTACTATAAAGCAAAACCCCCTTTTCTATCAGATCACTAAGAGGCAAAGTGTAAAAGTAAAATTCTAAGAATACTTTAGCCTATACCAGAATCTGGCATTAATAGGATTAAAATTTAGAAAGTTTGCCTCCTTGTTCAGATTCTTAGAAAGAAGGACTATATTGTCTAGTTGACTCTAATAGATCCTAGAAAGGGTTAGAAAAATCAAATCATAGATGTCTTGAGACACAGAAACCATGACACCTAAGAGAAAGACGAAAGAGGAATAACTGGACAGAACGTATTGACTTGTTTGAACACTTCTGTTTAGAGCATGATTATGCCCCTAATTGTCCAGGTAGATATCTGTACATATAATTATGGTATCCTGGAAGGGAAACACATGCTGGGATTCCTGTGCTAACATAGAGGAACACAAGTGATTCCTTTTAAAAATTTCATCTGGATGTAATTTAAGCTTCAACATTGTTAACCACCGACCACAAGTATTAATATGGCTGGGACAAAAACCGGTTGCTAAAAAAGGTGTACTTACATGGGGACTACAGCTCAGTGATCGATAATAGGGCTGCCAAGGTGTTGATATTTCAGACTTATGTTCATCTTTGAGGGGAAGATCTAGAGCATGTAACTGTACATGGGTCATGGGGAAGGGGTGGCAAGACAGTTAGAATTGCGAAGAATGTGGTCAGGAACCTTCAAGAGTCTTTGTGTCAGCAACATTATGAAAGATGTGGTGCAGGACATTCTAGTAGATTTTTGAGTATCCTGAGAAGAAACTTAGAATTTTAGACTCCTAAAGCAGGGAGAGACTTTCAGAGAGGACCTAGTCCGGCACAGCGTTTTCACCCAGGACAGGAAACCCTTATACTCCATGCCAACACACAGGCATCCAGGTCTACAAAGTGTCTTTTAAAAGGGGACGTATTATGCAACCCACTCTGTTTCTGAAAAGTTCTGTGCCTGGAACTGAGGCTCAGCTGAAATCACTGTTGCTACTTCTATCCTTGGGTCCTCATTTTACCTTCTGGACCTATTTGAATCTACTTGAAATTTAACACCTCTCCTACCTAACAGTCCTGAGGGTGCTCATTTTAAGATTGTGCTCTTTAACTCAAACATCTTTAATTCTTTGAACTGTTCATCTTGTGATGAAGTGTTTGGGCTGTTTACATCTCAGCGATGGTCCAGTTCCTCAACCATCCTTTTTAAAGGCTATGTGCTGAGATGGACACAATGCTATAACATCAGATTTGGTCCAAACAGTGCAAAGCATGATAGGATTTTTAAATTCTTTGAGTCGGACATCTTTCTTCTTTCAAGATGATCTATTCTGGAATTCATTTTTATGGCAACCACACACTTTTCATTCTTTTTGAGCTTCTGGTGTGAATGCTACTAGACTGTCTTCCTAATTTTATCTTGTGTACTTTTTTTGTTTGTTTTTGAGGCTAAGTGCAAGACCTATATTTGTTTCCATTACAGTTTATCTTTCAAGTCTCATGATCTCTTCTTAAATTGTTGATCCTTTTTACTTATATATTAATCATTGCATCTAACTTCATATCTTAAGTGTACCTTCATCCAAGTCACTGGCATCAACTTTGAATAGAACAAGACCATCTGGAAATGGCCCATTGTCCAGTCAACTGCTTGAAGCCTGGAAGTCGACCTTATCTCTCAGCCATTCCCTCATCCTTTATATCTAGTCATTGGCAAGTGCCCTATCATTTCTACCTCCAAAATTTATCCCAAATCCACAGGCATTTTGTTCCCATCTCCACTCTAGTGTGAGCCATCATCTTTAATTTCCGGATAACTGTGATCATCTTTACTTGTCTCCCTTTACTTGTCTCCTCACATCCATCTTCCACCCAGCAGCCAGAATAACCTTTTTATTTTATTGTGTTATTATGTGTCTCCATCACTAGACTGTAAGACAGACCATGACAGTTTAATTCACCTATTTACCTATTTACATTCAACATCAAACACACACATAACAGAGTCTTCACTGAGAATGAGTGAATTTACAGACATTAGAACCTCATTGGCAAGTTATGTGAGACTATGCCAAATACCTTAACTAAAATCAAGTCTCCCTCTATGAAGATAGTTCTGTGATCTACTTAGCTCACCTTATTTCAAAAGATGATATTAGTTTAGTGACTATTTAGAAAAACTCTGTTGGTCTCTACAGAGCAATCTTTTCTGCAGTCGTTGCACATAAAC